GGAACATGTGATGTCTCAGTAGCAGCCATTTCCATTGTAAACTGCCAATCAATGAATAAATGTGTAAGAAAAGGGGACACAATAAAAGAAGTCTTCCCAGAAAGAATAACAACAGAGGCATCACCAATTGTAAACAAATTATGTGATATTCTTCCCCTGAAAAAGATTCCTGTCTGATGTACCTTCAGTCAACTTAAGTCTTCAATTAGGCATCTTTATATCATAAAGAGAGAAATCTAACAAATATAATACAATAATTATAAGGCAAAGACGACATCGAAACTATATTCATTCTACATGGAGTCTTCAAGCGTAAATTGAATCCTTTGTACCTATGATTCATGAACATTCTTCACGAATATTCAAATTAAAAACTCAAGGTCAATCACCATTACCTTTTAAGCAACAATGCTCCACTCTCAATAAGCTAGGGTTTTCTATTATGATACTAGAATCCAAACAAGATTCAAACAAATTCAAAATAAAGCATTTGCGGATCAGGAATTTCACAAAGGTAACAAATTCAAGGTAAGCTGAAGCCAGATTATGAGCACCTGAAGAGAAGAGGGATCGTCAGATCGGAGTGGATCGAGAGATAGAACGACTTTAGCCACCGGATGAGTATCCGAGGAAAAAGCATGACTCTGAAACGACCTTGCCACTACCGGCGGGCACTTCATAAGCCACACCGATCTGTCAGCACTTCATATTTAAGATTTTCTATCATTCACTAAGCAACAGATCAAGATGGCTTATGATTAAGCTTGTTCAAGCAAATCGACAAAAAATATAGGGACAGTTAAAAACTTCTTGCACAAATCTTGTGTTCAAGTCCCCAATGGATAACCTAATCAGGACGACAGAAGATATGAAAAAATGCAAGAAACCTAGTTGGCTTTTAAATTAATCTGTGAAACTAGTTAATTTTTCAAAGGGTACTTTAACATTTAATTAGACTTGGTTCCTAATAAAGGGTCGGACACCAGAAGAAGGACCTAAGTCTGACTGTCTGATAGGTATATGTGTATAAAGTACATGTATAAATGTATAAACAAAAGAAAAAGCACATGTATGAGAGTTTGGATGACTGAGAATATAATGTTTCATCATTCATGCAATTTCAAAACTCAACTAATACCTGAAGGAGGAAAAGGGTTATGAGTTGTTGAAGAAACCTGAAAGGAGTACTGAGACTTAGAAAGGATAAAATATATTTATCCATACTTGGAAAAAAAATTTTCTCTTCAGAAAACAAACCTTTCTGGTTCAGGACTATAACCAATCACATAATATGTAAGAACCATCCAAAGAAAAGCATCCATAAATGAAAAAGGAATCTTTAAAATAGCTGCTGGAATTGAATAAGCCTACGTTGGATAGAAGTAGAAATCTCTTTGCTAGTAAAATACCACAAGTCTGGAGACAGTTAATGAGAACTCTGCAATCCCATTGCATGTAAGTCTTAGAAGACCATAAAACAAGGAATTCATGTAGTAGTTACTAGTTTGCAGGGACAATATCAATTTTCATCCTGGTGCATATAAATATTGTCATTGCTATTACTGTAACTTAATATCTAAAGAATTTTTCTCAAGAACACTTCACAATCTTAATATCTTATTCATTATCACTAATTTAGAATATACCAGAAAAACACCAGCAACAAACAATAAAGGTAAACAGGTAACAACCAAATGAATAATCAAAGATCAAACACAAAAACTTATAGATAACAAAATTAAAAATGAAATCTAAAACCCATTGCAATCAGAATTAAAGTAACAAATATTACAGATACAAATCAGATCTAACCCAAACTGTAATCAATAGCATGAAAGAAAGAAACTGTAATCGGAAAGAAAGAAAGAAAAAGAAGAATCAAAGGAGTATTAGGTATTGACTAACCTTCTTCTTCCCTCAGTAGTGCCACTGCCTCTCTGCCACCGGATCCTCAACAGAAGCCTCCTTTTCACTCAGCCAAGCAGCATGCCACCGCCTATTCTCCGCCGGTAACCTCCAATACATCAAATCAAATCAAAATTATAGGTGAACCCAGAGCATCGCATAAAATCAAAGCTACATTTACAAATCTCAAAAACCCTAAAGTTGTACTCGATTCTGATGAGAAACTCAGTTTAGAAAGTGTAATTCGAGGAAATTGAAAGGTAGCAAAAGGATGAAATCAAGCCAAATACTTGTCTCTTGAGCGAAATCAACCCATGAATATAGAAGAAATGAAGAGGATTAGGAAGAAATCACCCAAAATCAACACAAACTCACC